GTTGCCCAACTCTACTAGGTTTCTCATTGCATAGGTTTGCTCATTGAGGCTGGCTACAGAGAGCAGATAATCCCCCCGTTTAAGCAGCTCCGCTGGCTCCCAGTCTGTTTTCGGGGACAATTCAAAGTGCTAGATGGTTCAGGTCCAGGCTATTTGGCTGACCACATAATAATAATAATAATAATAATAATAATAATAATTTATTTATTTATTTATTTATACCCCGCCTCCATCTCCCCCAAGACAACTTGAGGAGGCTTACATGAGGCCACGCCCATCAATACGGTAAACACAATATAATACAAAAGCATAATGAAAAAAACCAAACAACAGAAAATAAATACATAAGATGCAAAACACAGCATCCCTTGTACAAATCTGCCCAGGCCCTGAGATCTTCAGGAGAAGCCCTTCTCTCAGTCCCCTCTCCATCTCAAGCTTGGTTGGTTGGAATGAGAGAGTGGGCCATCTCAGTGGCTGTCCCTCAACTCTGGAACTCCCTGCCCAGGGAAACCAGAATGGCAACTTCCCTGCTGTTCTTCCAGTGGCAAGCGTATAAAAATGAAGGTGTTTAAGTCAGGAGGTGCTGTGATTTTAATAATAATAATAACATCAACATCATTATCAAAATATCAGCAAACTTGGGCATGTCACTGCTCATTCCATATGTGACCAAGTGAAATAGTACCAGTTCGAATTGCATCACAATGTTTGGTCAGGAATCCTTGAAATAGGAATTTTGCAAGTGTCTACAATTAGTATGGTTCATGCATTTCCTTATATTGTCAAATAACTCTAAAAGTTAAGACAGAACTCTTAACTTGTAGAAGTTATGCTGATTCTTGTTCAGCAAAGTCTTGCCCTTCTGAAAAAACACCTTTCCGCCAATTTATTTGGAACAGCCTTGTTGGTTTGGGTTTTCTTGGCAAGATATGGTCAGAGGAGGTTTCTCTTTTCATTGCTCTGAGGCTGAGAAGGAGTGACCTCCCAAATTGAGCCATTGGGATTCCATAAGGATTTGAACCTTGGTCTCTAGAGTTTAATCCAGTGCTCAGAGTACTCATTTTCTCGCAATCCCCCAGATCTCTTTAGAAGTGATGCTTGATTGTCATTTGTGAGCTGGAGTACGGAATCCCACACTAAGAATTGCATGGAATGTTTACGCAGATATGTGTGTTGATTGTGGGAATTATATTTTCCAGTAAATTGGTTGCATTTTATATTTTATATTGTATTTGTTAATCTGGTTTTCATATATTTCTTTGCCTTATATGTGAAAGACCTATGGTCTAAGCATCTAATAAACTTGAACTTGACTACAGTACATTGGTTATTTTTTTAATTTGGAACATCCTTTTTATTTGATAGTGGAGTGTTCCTAAATAAAAAGAATGTTGTTTTGCTCTCTATCTTGTTCTGAATAAAGCTAGATGAGCATTCATGTAGCGATGTCAAGTAAGTACACAGCTAAGATGAGGACAATTGGCCTTTTCTATCTTACTTTAAAATGTGTTAATTAATTTTTGAATTAATTTAATTGAATCCACATTTTTTGAAATTCATATGTTCTTAATAATCTGTTGGCATATATAAACAATACAAGGTTGTGAGAAATGTGCTGACCTCATTTTTCAGTCCACATTTTAAAATGATCTTTCTAAATTAATTTTTCATTCAATTTTTGCAGTGTGTCAGAGATAAGATTGAGTATTTTGCTATAAACATACAGATAGAAATTAGGTATTTCTTTTTTCCCCTAAGCAAATCACAGCTAGATTAACCTCTTTTGATATGGTTCCCAGAATTTACAAGTCTCTTGCTATAGTTGTCTAGTGTAAAGTAGTTGTTTTATCAGTGATGTGCATTGTAACCATCATGTTGTGAATTTTCTCACCTTGTATGGATTGCATTGCTTGTTTTTAAAAAACTTTATGGGGAGTATTTATCGGGTTTCTATAGAAACCTCATGAAAACATGTAAAAGACCTGAGTTATATTGCAAATTGCAACACATCATTCTTCTGCAATACAATATGGATGGTTTTCCTGAGAACTTTTAATGCGATATTGTCTTAATTTTGATTAAGATGTGAAGAAGTGAACATACATATTAAATTTTCTAGGCTATTAATGGTTAGGGCAAAAAAGTGAAGCAAGTTAAAATTGGTATACAATTTTCCTACCAGGTAGTTTTCTTTTCCTGTTGATTATCCTGAAGTAAGATCTGGACAAGCTTTACTTGCATCTTCCAAATAATCATTCCTTAATTACTCCAATCCTCCTACTCCTATTGGTCATCATTTCATCTGACTGAATTTATTTTTATTTATTAGGAAATTTCTATATTGCCTATCCCCAAGGACCCAAGTCAGTTTACAACAGCTGCTAAACATGAAATATACAATTTTAGCAATTAAAATAATCCCATATGTTCCTGTTGAATGTAAAATTGTCATTAAAAGGAGTAAAACCATATAAAATTCCCAGGAAAATAAAATATTATTGTAAAGTGCAGTTCCTAGGCTTAGTTCCTAGAATTCCGAATTAGATGTTTGTTATCTTGTTCATACAGCATATTGGAAAGGGAACATAACACAACTCAGGTTATTAACAGATAAAATCATAGAATCATAGTTGGAAGGAATCATAGTCCAACTGCCTGCCATGCACTAATACAGCAATAAAGGACTTCTAAAGAAGACCCATACAACCTCTTCTTAAAGCAGTGTTTCTCAACCTGGGGATTGGGATCCCTGAGGGGGGTCACAAGGGTTCAGAGGGGTTGCCAAGACACATACTTCTGATGATCTTAGGAACTCTTTTGGCAGTGAAGTCTGAAAATCTCTCCACATGATCCTTCTCTTCCCTTTTGGTGTTACAACTCCAAGAATTCACAAACAGGCCCCCAACCCCACCAATATTTAATGTTGGCCATGCAGGTAATGTGCCAAGTTTGATGCAGATCCATTGTGGGCTGGGATGAGTGCTCTTTGATTGGAGGTTAACTATAAATCCCAGCAACTACAACTCCCAAATGTCAAGGTCTGCTTTCCCCAAACTCCACCAGTGTTCACATTTGGGCGTATTGAGTATTCATGCCAAATTTGGTCCAGATCCATCATTGCTTGAGTCAACAGTGCTGTCTGGATGTAGGTGAACTCCAGAACTCAAGGTCAATGCCACCAAATCCTCTGATATTTTCTCTTGGTAATGGGAGTTCTGTGTGCCAAGATTGGTTCACTTCCATCGTTGGTGGAGTTCAGAATGCTCTTTGATTGTATTTAAACTACAACCAACTACAACTCCCAAATGACAAAATCAAAATATTTAAATATGGCTATCATATAGTCTCTCAGTTTTCTCTATTTCAGGCTAAATATATCCCAACTTCCTAAATCATTCCTCATAGAGCTTTGTTTCCAGACTTTTGGCCATCTTGATTACTCTCCTCTGAATACGTTCCAGCTTAACAAGTGGTGTGCCTAGTACTGGACACAGTATTCTGGGTGACATTTGCCTGTGGCAGGATAGAGTGAACCAACACTATGTTCCTGTTGATAAAGCTTATAATTGCACTGGCTTTTTGACCATAGTATTGCACTGTGTTGACTCTACTAAGATATCTTGATCATTTTCACATGCTCTATTTTCAAGCCACATGTTTTTCTTTGTTCATTTGTTTCTGCCTAAACAAATGTCCTACAATTATTCTTGTTAAAATTGTGTTACTTCTGTTACTGTCATTTTGAACCCCAATTCTTCCTTTGGAGCTGGGTGGCTAGCCTTCCTAATTTGGTGTCATCTTCAAATTTTCTCTGATGATTCGTGTTCTTGCATCTTCTACATCTTCTACATATTCCGCCGTGTTTCTAGAAAGTTTTCTTCCCATCTCACCATAGCTTCTTCTGTTATGATTTTCTTTAGTAAAGAATTTCTAGAGCAGTATTGCAAGGGTAGGCAAGCTAGGCACTTGAGGACCAATTTTCTGCCACAAGCTGCAATTGCTGCCGAAATCCCCCCCCCCCCCAAGTTAGAAATCTGGAAGTAAATAGAAATATTTGTTTTTGAAAAACAGGCTTTTACATGTTAAGTACTGTAGAGGCTGCCCAATATGTAAACAACAAATGAGGACCTCCTATCATATGTGGTGGTCATGTAAACATGCCAAGAAATATTGGATTCAAATACACACAGTTATCCAGAAAATGTTAGGGGGAAGCTCCAGCTAAAACCAGAGACTTTTCTACTTGTTCTGACTTATAAAAATAACCAGGATAGACAGTGGCAATATATGACCATCGCAGCCAGACTACTATACACACAGAAATGGAAGAGTACAACAATACAAACAATGGAGGAATGGATATGATGGACTTTGTCAAAATGGGCAAATTAACATGTCTACTAAAAGAAGGACATTGAAAACTTTTTATTACATTGGAAATCTTTTATTCACTTTTTGAATGAAGAAGACAATTCTGAGTTTTTAATAATAAATTAAAGTTTTTGTTGATGTTGTAATATTTTTGTTTATTTATTAGGAAATTTCTATATTACCTTTCCCCAAGGACCCAAGGCAGTTTACAACAGCCGCTAAAGATGAAATATACAATTTAAACCATTAAAATAATCCCAAATGTTCCCGATGACTTGTCATTAAAAGGAGTGAGACATTTTTTTTGATGTTGTAATATGAGAAAAGAGTTAGTATCTAGTATGAATGAGAAAGGAGTTAGGTATAAAGTGAAGGGTATGATGTTAGCGCTCTTTGTGACTAGATTGGAATAGACAGGAGGTCACCAATCTCCCCCGTATTTTTCTTTTTTCCTCTCCCCCTCTCCCTTTTTAAAAGAGAAGGATGTATAAAGAGAGAGGGTGCATATAAAAGCAACGTTATATAGGGAAAAAGAATATAAAAACTTGGATTGAATAGGATTCTGTACTGTGGTATACATCATTTCCCATACTACCCTAAGCTGGCTAAATCTTACTCTTGTTCAGTTTTCAGATAAAACCGATAGAGACTACTACACTCTGGATGACATGTTTGTTTCCAAAGCAGCAAAGGGTGAACAGAGTGGGGTAGAGGAGGGAAGGCAGAGGAGCCAAGCCATCCATGAGCATCGGCAACTTGCTGCACGTATGGAAAAATGCCCTCACTGCTTCGGTAGTGCTGAGCTTCAAAAACATCTCATTATTGCAATTGGAAACAAGGTAAGAAAGCAACATAGACAATCTTGATGGGAAGAAATGAAAGAGGGCTGTTTTCTCTGCCATGGTTTTATGAGATTAAAAGGAAGATTGCTTCTTGTGACATGAGTTATTGTCTTTCAATGTCCCTGACCTTTCCAATTAAGAGGAAAGAGTCACTTCCTCAAGAATGTGGCAAAAATGATCTGACTCTGTCTTGAATGATCAAGTTAATCTCTGTCAGTCCTTCAGATTTGCGGGTGACCTTGTACCGATGGCATACAAGCACTGAATATTTCGGTTGCATAAAGGGGTAAATAATTGGGAAGCCAAAGCAAAGTTCAGTAGTATGAGGGAAGGGGTTGTTGAGAGGAAATTGAAATTAGAAGCTGTAAAGGAAATAAAACCCACAAAGTCAAAGCAAAGTCATTCATGTATTAAGCAACTGTATGGTCTCATCTCTTTTAAAATCCAGCTTTTAAATGGTTGCAAAGAAAATATGGAACTCTTTGGCTTGGACTTTTCAATGTTCCCAGCCCCAAATATTCAGTTTAGGATAGACATGGCCATACAGCCTGAAGAACTCACAGTAACCCAGTTATTCAACCATAGTTTGTTTGCATTTGAGATTCACAATATGTTCAAACTGGGGATTTGTCATTTAGTCCCCATATGAGAAAGCCTCTTATCCCACAAAGCCTTATGGACAGAGGAATTGATATTTTGAGATCTAGGACAACATTGGAATGTAGAGGGTGCCAGGGACCTTACTTCCAAATGGTGAGGTAGGCAGTTGAGATGCAGATATATTCACAAAAATACCAGCAGGTGATTGAATGTTGGCTGCACATTGCAAAAACTTATCAACAGAATTAAATCGATCTGTACTTGCTTTTGATTAAAGCAAGAAGGACTGCTAGGAGTAGCTTCTCAAGAACTAACATGTCTCAAAGAATGCAGCATATTTACTGAAAACATTATATGGATATTTGTTTTATATCATTTCAACTTGTTTAATTTATGTTACCTAGAAAATGTGGGTTATAAGAAACCAACTAGGCATTTTCATGGGTGTGTGTTATAGTTTGATGATGTGTGCAGACCAGCAGAAGATTAGTCCCTTGTATGTTTTTAAAAAAACCCAAAAATCCACAAGTAGAAGAAATAAATAAATAAATAAACTTCAACACAAACTTTCTAGTAAATACAGTCACAGTTCCTCTGGAATATCAATCTCGCGTATGGTCCTTGCATTTAATTCATGCAGTACTTTCCATTAGAAAATAGGTCTTCTCCCAATCTTCATTTCTTGTTCACAAGCATGGAAGACAAACTTGCCAAAGTCAAATAGGCTGCAGGCCAGGAGCTTACACCAAGTAAGCTCAGAGGCAAACACTCTGTAAACCCCAAACATACAACAAACTCTCCCCAGTTATACCCCTTTAGGAGTGACCCAAGACTTGTTGACCTTAATTACCCAAATTACTCAGCCTGTGGATTGTAATCAACTAGGGTGAGTCTTTTTCTCTTAACACATACACGGTAGTGATCCTACGGTAACTTAGCAATGTACCTTAATAGTGTGCATGGTTCAGAAGGACAAGATTCTATTAGTAGATTGATCTTCTTAACAGAGGTATTAAAAGGAAATACAGTTCCTAATACATTTTATATCCTGGTAGTGTTTTTCAAATTGAGTTACCATTTTACATTGCTCTGTGAAGTGGAAGTTGGTAAGGGGTACATCTTACTGATACCTTGTTTTCATACAAGACAAGATACCTGGCTGTCTTCCCAGAATCTGAGACGTCATAGAATAATGTGTACAAGCTAAAAACATGGGGATTTGAAACATTAAATCAAATAGCTTAATCTCTGAAATCAGCTCAGAGCTAATTTTTCCTTTACTAGCCAGTTCAGTTAAATCACCTGAAGCCTAACCCTGCCAAGACACAAGAGTGTGCTTTCTACTTATGCAACTGCGAAGCCAACAGAAAATTGAAAGTCACCTGGGAAAGTCAAGAGCTTGAACATTGTTCCCATCCTAAATATCTCGGTGTCACCTTAGATGGAACGCTAGCATATGGGAAACACTGCTTGTACACAAAGCACAAAGTAACTGCATGCAATAACATCCTGCGGAAACTTACTGGCAGCACATGGGGTGCAGACCCAAAATTAAGAACATCAGCCCTAGCCTTGTCTTACTCAACTGCAGAGTATGCCTGCCCTGTTTGGCGTAGGTCTGCCCATGCAAAGCAGGTGAACATAGCATTGAATGAAACATGCAGAATAATCACAGGATGCCTTAAACCTACACCTGTTGATAAGCTCTACAAGCTAGCTGGCCTTGCCCCCCCCTCCCCCGATGTGTGATGGGAAGTTGCTGCTAAATGTGAGAGAAATAAGGTTGAACACTGAAAGTCATCCACTACATGGCTACCAGCCTCTTCCCAGTAGATTCAAATYAAGGAAAAGCYTTATRAGAACTATCACTCCTCTTGGCRTCCCCACAGGAACAGCAAGGGTATCCCTCTGGGCAGCTAAAGCAGGAAATCCCGACTGGGTGGCCTCCCCACRAGAGTTTTCCTCCAGGGAAAAACCAAGAATGGGCAACTTGGAAGTCCCTGAACAAACTCAGAAGTGGAGTGGGCAGATCAAAAGACAACCTTGCAAAATGGCACTACCTAAAAGAATCYCACACCTTGTGTGACTGTGGAGCAGAACAGACAACTCCGCATCTGTATGCTTGTCCACTATGCCATGCCTCATGTACAGAGGAAGAACTGTTGGAGGCTATGGACAATGCTATTGCTGTTGCCCGTTTTTGGTCAAAAGATATTTAGCCACCTGCACTCCTATTTTTATCAGTTTTATACTAATTTATGCAATGCTTTTGATAGGAAATAATAATAGCTAAATCATGTGAGCTTTAAAATAATTTTGGTACATAATAAATACCAAATACCTGAAAATAATTACCATTGAAATACGTTCTAAGGATTTCTTTCCAAACAAAATTCAAAAACACAAGAGGGAAAGATGTAACATTTATATATAGAAGGATTAGTTATATAGACAGGCTTTATTTATTTGGCTGGTATTTAAGTGTCATGGAGTCAAGCAAAGCAGATTAGGAGACAAAAAAGCTTCCAGGGTTTCTTAAATAGATACCTAGTTTTAAGGATGCAAATGTTCAAATATCCCATTAAAATCCACCAATTAAAGAGCTATTTTCCCTTGTTATAGCAAAATGTTGAAACCCAAACTAGATGTGATGGCTGCATACTTGTCCCCTCAAGTATAAGTTTCTCCCATTGTTAAGGAGCTGGGTGATAAAAACAGGTTTGTCCATTTTGAAGAGCAAAGTGAGTGCATGGTTGAGAAAAGCCCCAAATCTTTTTTTTTTCCCCTTGCCTCGCCTCCAGATCTGATTTATTTCTGATATGAACTCACTTGAACTTAAAATAAGGGGAAATGACCTTTGGGTGGGAGAATACCTTTGTAGCCCCCCAAAACTGTCATTTCTAGACCAGTCTTTTGATTAGACTAGGACCAGAGTCAGCAAGAGATCCACAATCATCATGTTTAATTTGACTGTCACTTTCTTTTTACAATGTGCGTGTATGATTTGGTCATAGACCACCTTCATTTATTAAAAGTCATCTTAAGTATACTCTAAACAGAAACTTAGACAGTTGTGTGTTGTTATTTATACTGCTGTAGGTATACTTATCATTGCCAAACTACCAGTCCCTTACTGAAGGGCATTGCCTAATAGCTCCTATGCAGCACTACATTGCAGCCACTCTTCTGGATGAAGACATCTGGGATGAAATTCAGGTGAGCAAAATCCTTGGGATTTTTATAAAGAGTTGCAACATGGGTTTCTCATGCCCTCAACTGTTATATTATGTTTATACATGAAGGGGGTAATCCAAACAAAGTTAATCATATACTTGAGTCTACTTGTTGTTTGGGGGGCGGGGGGATTGCAGTAGGCCACCAATTAGCCCAACTTAGGCCATAAACAAGGGCAAAAGGCTAATGTGTCAAAGCTGTTTGTTGATTTGGCCAAATCAGAGCTTTCCTGCTTTATGGAAGAACAAAAAACTCTAAAGCCTCCCACCCCTATCTTAAGCTTTTATATTTTGTTTTATTATTTTTTGTTCACTGTTTCTTGCAAAAAGTTACAAGATGGGTACATACAAGGAACACCATGGAGGTAGAGTATCTGGATTTGAGTAAGGCCTTCAACATGACCTTCTGGCAAACAAACTTGTCAAATGTGGGCTATGCAAAACTATGGTTAGGTGTATCGGTAATTGGTTAAGTGAACGAACCCAGAGGGTGTTCACCGATGCTTCCTCTTCATCCTGGAAAGAAGTGACGAGTGGAGTGCCACAGGGTTTCAACCAGGGCCTGGTTCTGTTCAACGTCTTTATTAATGACTTCGATGAAGGGTTAGAAAGCATGATCATCAAGTTTGCAGACGACACCAAATTGGGAGGGATAGCCAATATTCCAGAAGACAGGAGCAGAATTCAAAATGATCTTAATAGATTAGAGAGATGGACCAAAACTAAGAAAATGAAGTTCAAAAGGGACAAATGCAAGATATTCCACTTAGGCAGAAAAAAATGAATGGGGGACGCCTGGCTCAATAGCAGTATGTGTGAAAAGGATCTTGGAGTTCTCATGGACAACAAGTTAAACATAAACCGACAATGTGATGTGGCAGCTAAAAAAGCCAATGAGATTTTGGCTTGTATAAATAGGAGTATAGTGTCTAGATCCATGGAAGTCATGCTACCGCTCTATTCTGCCTTGGTCAGACCACAACTGGAATACTGTGTCCAATTCTGTGCACCACAATTTGAGATGTTGACAAGCTGGAATGTGTCCAGAGGAGGGTGACTAAAATGATCAAGGGTCTGGAGAACAAACCCTATCAGGAGCAGCTTAAAGAGCTGGGCATGTTTAGCTTGCAGAAGAGAAGGCTGAGAGGAGACATGATTGCCATGTATAACTATGTGAGGGAAGTCACTGGAAGGAGGGAGCAGGCTTGTTTTCTTCTGCCCTGGAGACTAGGACGTGGAACAATGGCTTCAAACTACAGGAAAGGAGATTCCATCTGAACATTAGGAATGACTTCTTAACTGTGAGAGCTGTTTAGTGGTGGAACTCACTGCCCTGGAGTATGGTGAAGGTTCCTTCTTTGGAGGCTTTTAAACAGAGGCTGGATGGCCATTCGTCGGAGGTGCTTTGAATACAATTTTCCTGCTTCTTGACAGGGGGGTTCGACTGGCTGGCCCATGAGGTCTCTCCAACTCTATGATTCTGTGACAGCTGTGGGGCCCTCTTAGCTATACATTCTGTTTCCTCTTTGTGACATTTCCGTCCCAAAACTTTCTGTTCCTTCTCTAACCCAAAGTTCTTGGTTTTGACTACATGTGATTTAAAATAGTGGGACTGTTCATACTTGATGTTCTCTAAGTGCTACAATGAAGAGGGGACCATTGTATTCAGAAAGGTGTTTCATAGCTGATATGGTAGCTATGTCCGGAGATAAGCAATCTTGCACTCCCAAAATATGAAGAGTATAAAGGGAATAGTAAATGAAGAATTAAAACAAATTATGTTCAGGAGAAAAGGAATGGAGAAAAAGAAGGAACATTTAAGGTAGATCTAAGAAGTTTGCAGATAAAGTTTCTCCTCCTTTCACTTGGGCCTTTGCTCCCAATCAAAATTCCAAGCAAGTGCTCTGAAGTATAAAAATAACAGTTTGTGGGTATGGAAAGGTTAGCAACATTTAACATGACATGTTCGCTAATCTTTGTAATGTTATCAGAGAGCACAGTAACGTGAATGTTATTTGTTCAGGTAGCAGAACACTTTCATATCTTATCTATCTCACACAGGCAACATTAAATGGATTTCCATTGGTATAAAATTGATACAGAATCCTCCACTGCAATGTTATTCACAAGGAGGGAGAGCAGGAATATTCCTCTCTCCCATCTGATATTCTGAAGGAATCGGAACCTCCGCTAAGCCACTAGATAAATATAAAACTTTTCTGATGCTGTGAATTTAAGATAGAATCATAAAATCATAGAGTTGGAAGAGACCTCATCAGCCATCCAGTCCAACCCCCTGCCAAGAAGCAGGTAAATTGCATTCAAAGCACCCCCGACAGATGGCCATCCAGCCTCTGTTTAAAAGCTTCCAAAGAAGGAGCCTCCACCACACTCTGGGGCAGAGAGTTTCACTGCTGAATGGCTCTCACAGTCAGATTTTGAAGAAATGATATAAAAGTGGTGTTCTATCTTTCCTTACAGAAAAAAGATTCCGCAATGATAATTTTATTAATATTTGTAATATGAATGGTAGCTAAACCTTCTATATTGTTTTTAATTAAATTTAAAATATAGGAATGGTTTACATTTGAGGGTAATGTTTATTTAGGAGGATTAATGGAGCCAACTCGAGATCATTCATGCCAAGAACCTTCTAGGATTTGGTCTCAATGAAGCTAAATATAAACTCTGGGAAATGAGAAGGAAAATATTTTTATAATGAGAATGTTTAATTAAATAAGCCTGGGAAATTCTGCAAAAACACTTGGAAGATTCTTCTATCCCAGTGAGTGCATTTTTTTCAAGTAGTTTAGCCAATTCTGCACAAGCAAAAGGAATAGGAATGGAGTACAGCATTTATAATCTTTGGGAAGTTTTCGGATTTGTTCCTGTGAACATATACTCTTGCATGCACAGTTTAAATTCTGTAGAGATACCTTATTTCTTCTTTTGTTCTTGTGCAGCACAGATCCATAAGGCTCATACTTTGAATTGGGATGAGAGATGTAGCAAAGTGATCTTGGAAAGTAAGCAGTCCCTAATGATACACTAAGTGTGGTTCTTTCCCTTTTGTTCCCTGCCCATAATATCCCAACAACATCCTGTATATCTCAATAGCAGTTTGTTGATCAACAGCATACCCTGGTTGCATTTAATACATGCAGAGACCCTTCTCATAACTACAACTGTACACTAGTTTAATTTTCTTTTTGAATTGCATGAATGCTATATAAATCCCTACGGTGATGTGCAAATCCATTATTCTCTCGCATAAATTTAAATTAGCCTGTAGAGAGGATGTGGAAATTATTGCTTTATAAAGAATGAAGATATAGGGTATGACCTTCGTCCGTGTAGTTAAAACCTCTTCATACAGAGGTCTGTGTGAAACAGGGTTCTATTTCCATCAACCCTTTATCAGTGCTTACAGTTGTATCTTGGATCATTCCAGACAGTGGAGAGTCCCTAAATTATAAATGGTAGTAGTAGTAATAATAATAATGATTATTTATTACCCGCCTTTACTTGTGCATGGCTTGAGGCCATGCACAACAGTTAAAATACATCATCATCATCATCATCATCATCATCATCATCATCAAATGCATTCAATAAAAAGCACATATTAAAAGATATTTCTATAAAATAAACATATTAAAATACATGGGACAAAGATTAAAACACAATAAACATGGAATGTGAATTAACAATTCATAGTTCCAAACTGATTGTGTAGGCCTGCTGGAAGAAATATGTGTGTCTCGAATGCCAGCCCAGCCTTCTCCACTCTATTTGGTTAAAGAATGTGCCATTTGCGATTGAGAGCAAAGCTCTGTCACATTTCATGGAAAACACTATGACCTTTGGGTGTTACAGCTGTATGGGAAGCTTATTCAGTCTTCAGTAATGGACAATAAAATACAATTCCTTAGACGCTTACTAGACCACAAAAACCACTGATAAGTCTACCTGCTATTTTGTTAGCTGTGGTCTAAAAGAAAAAAATGTATATAATTTATCTGGCTAAGGGACATTTTTATCTACCACATCAGATTACAAATGTGGCTATTTTATGCTTTATTTATTGCACTTCCCCTTAGACTGAGGCTTTAAAAGCAAAACATAATAGGCCTCATTTGACTAATTTGGATTTCTAAATAAGTGTTGGAGACAGTGGGATACATTTTTTAATGGGAAAGAAGAGTTTTACAATGGCCTTTGGTGGTTTACAATAAATTCAAGTGCCGTATAGACAAAGCAGATAAAAAGGGCAAGAGGAAAAGTCAGCTACTTCCTTTGAAACATTGCTATTATTGATTTTGAAATGAAAATGTGCAAATATATGGCTTGGCTATCTTTTATTGCTGTCTGGTCACTACTGTTGGATTAAACATTATAAATCATGTTAAACTGAAGTTAACCATCAATGAAAACACACTCTTTTATTTCACAGTTGAACCACCACCTCTGTAGTTAAGTTATCCATTCTCTTGTTGCCTTTTTATAAAGCACTGCAGCTCAGGTCAACATGAAAATTCTTCCTATACATCATGGATTCTTTTGAAAAGAACAATGCTTAAGTCAAAGTAATTCATGTAATGGGAACCTTTTGATTAGACTTGTATAATGCATTGTATTTAGGGCTGCCTTGAAAATACAGAAACTGGAAGTCATTGAAAACAGAACAGCTAGATTGCTAACCATCTACATTATTTTAAGCTGGAGGAGATCCCTTGTCTTCCTGGGTTCCAGGAGAGTGTTTGTTGCCTTGTTGATTGCTGTTGATCATTTCTTTATATTGAATCATACCACTGGTTCAACTAGTGTAATCCTGCTTGCGCTAAATAAAAGTGGCTTTCCCAAGTCTGATCTAGAAATGCCAAGGGTTGGATCTGGAACCTCTATACATCCAAAGCAAGTGCTCTAGCTAGCACTATGTAGATACAACTTTTCCTTTTCTTTAAACATTCAATATTGTCCTCGTAACTTCAACTCTGGAAGAAAAGGCCATTTTTTTCTGTGTAATTTATCTTGAAATTTTCCAAAACATCTTTGTCAGAATAGAATTGACAGTCAGCAATGATTTAGCTCTTAAATTAATTCTTTGTCTCAGAAACTAGAACAGGGTAATGAATAGTTCTGCTTATTAGTGTGTGATTCCTGAGGATGCTGGCTGTGGGGTTGTTTCAGCTTAATTTGCGTTCAAATGTCATTGCTTCTTGGACATCCTCATGGCAATATGGATCCCATGGTTGACAGCCCTTAACCTGTCTTCACAAACTCTGTTTGCTGTGGAAGCAGTTTTCAGACATGAGTGCTTTTTTCAGGTAGAAGCATGAACTGTAAATTAGCATCAAGGTGAAGGTTTCCTGTGACCTCTCTCTTCAGGTATTTTTATTGCGAAGTCTTCACACAATAAATGCCATAAGCATTTCCTCCTCTCTCTCTCTCTACCTGCAGTTTGGTTTTAAGCAAGATTAACTTATCAGGAAACTTATTTGCAAAATATGAGTAGTTTGAAAACACTCTGTTTTTTATAATGTTTCCATAGCCATTAGATGATAGCAACTACGTTGTCTCAGGAAAATTCTAAAAACTGTCATGTTTTAGTTTTTATGTCTTAACTTTTATATGATGAAATAGAACCCTAGCTTTCTTTTACTTTATTGGGTCTGAGACAAGGGCCTGGCATGCCATTCCAGGACCATGAAGTGATACTTTCATGGATTACTGGATGGCGTTGTGTTTTGTGGTGCTTAAGATATTGGATTATCTTATTGTCCCATATCATTGACATTGCATGGAAAATGTCTGACATTACATGGAAAAGGGTTTGAAATCAGTATTAGAAGTATTCATATGCAAGATCCTAGACTCGGTCCTTGGCATTTGCTGGTAACACAGTGATTCTTAATTTTGAGGATACACTTTTGAGAAAGCTGTAAACCTGCTCCCTATAAAAATGTAAGAACAACAGTTGTGAGGTCTGGGAAGTACAATTGGGGCTATGGAGGTTTCTGTGGATGATAGGATTCCTTTTTCTTTCCTGAAGCGGCGGAAGAGATGTGTGGTGATTGTAGGTAATAACTACTGAGAGGCAGCACTATGTAGACCTGAAAGGAAGTGTTCTTTCTTTCTTGAGCAGAAATCCAAGATGGGACAGGTTTCTTAATTTATCAAGCCTGTTCACTGTAGCAGCTTCCTTCTGATATGCGGGAGAATAAATGAGATTGTTAGATACAGATAGTCCCCAAGTTGCAAACAAGATAAGTTCTGTAGGTTTGTTCTTAGGTTGATTTTGTATGTACCATACGTTGGAACAGGTACATTTTTAAGTGAAACTCAAGCCAAAAATATGTATATTTTAGATTTTGAGTTAATACCCTTGTGGTGTCTGTTTGCTGTTTGTACCCCTGTTCAGAAAATTACACCTCACTTTCTGTCCCTGTGATCATTGGATTTTGGGGAAAAAATGACTTGTTGTGGAAGCAAGGATTGGTGATAAAGCTTCAGTGGAGGCACCTTTTCCCCTTTCAGGAGTGGATTTCCCTTCTGAGGGGTAGATTTCTCTCCCTGTTGTCTCACCCCCATTCTTAACTATCAGTCATTTGTAAGCTGAATGTTTGTACCTCGGGGACTGCCTGTACAGCCTTCAGTGTATTGCAAGGTGCTGATGTTCTGACCAGGAAAATGAAGAACTTTGGGGTGCATGTGAGTATTTCATTGCTGTTTTCTGTTGAAGATCATGACTTAGGGAGATAAAACTAGTAGTGCAGACATCCTTGGGTGCCCAGGGAGAGAAAGCAGAATAGTGACAGTGAATGACTTATGCCTTCTTGGATCATGATCTGTCTTCTGGCAAGAGATGGATTGTAGCTCACAGTACAGGGTTAGTCAAAATGAATAGGCCAATAAGAAAATTAATTTTAGACGAATGTATGTTTATTGTAACCAAACTACAGCTACGTAGCGACAGATAAACTATCAAAGTTTTGTCTCACCTTCAGAGATGTTCGATATGGGCGCCCCGTGTGACACGGCAGATGTCCAAGCGATAGTCCAGTTCATTCCACATCCGTTGCAGCACATCCGACGTAATGGCATCGAATGCAGCAACGTCTGGGAAGGTGTTCGTTGAGGTCCTAACCCTAACCCTAACCCTAACCCTATCCCTAACCCTAACCCTAACCCTAACCCTAACCCTAACCCTATCCCTATCCCTAACCCTAACCCTAACCCTAACCCTAACCCTTGAAATTCTCGCTGGACCGTAATTACTGACATTGTTTTAGCAAATGTCATCACACAAAACGCCTTCTCTTTGCTTGATTCCGCCATTTTGAAAACAGCGACCCCTAGCGACGCCTAGCGGCATTAACGTACATGTGTGTTGCTCAAAAAAAACTTTGATAGTTTATCTGTCGCTACGTAGCTGTGGTTTGGTTACAGTAAACATACATTCGTCTAAAATTAATTTTCTTATTGGCCTATTCATTTTGACTAACCCTGTAGTTTGAAAGAGCAGGTTTGTTAGTACTCTTGCAAATTTGGTCAAAAAGTCGTTAATGAATCATGCAGTGAGGGAGATAGTATTTCAGATGTACTGTGGGATAATAACATCAGTGGTGCCCAGAAAACTAGGCCAGTATATAGAAATTAGCTGTTCACATGAAAAAACAATAGAAGTAGGAGGAATCCATGGTTTCAGATGTCCAATGCTAATGCCGAGAACATGAGAAATAAACAGTTGAATTCCTAATGTAGGAAAGCAAATATGATTTAGCAGGCATGATTGAAAACTTATGTAATGAGATTCATTGCTTGTGTTTAGTAACTGGGGGTATAACTAATTTAAAAGCAATACAGCACACAGAAAGGGATAATGACTACCAGTGTAAGATGTATTCAGCATCTTTATCCATTGGTTGGGTAAGGAAAAAGACAGCCTGTTCATTAGATCAGTAGGTGATGCCACCTGGTAGTTACTACCTCAAAGGAAAGAGTCAGGATTCAAGCTGGCCTTAAAAGATTAGCTAACTGAACCAAAGCTAACAACATGAATTTCATAAATTGTTGTACATGAGTCAACATGTCTGATATGAGGGCAAATGAAATGAAATAATAGCATTTGATGAGGTCACAAAGAGTCAGAAGTGACTGAACAAATAAACAACAAATAGCATTTGATCAGAAAACAGAATGCTCTTCTGGCATCCTGCGTATACTTCTGAGTGCAATAGTTTAAAGCAGGTACATTGAAGCAGGAATATGTCCAGAGACATTTATCCAAGAGATTAAAAGGTTTGGAAATGAAGTCCTGGAAGAGTTGTTGAGGAATCACAATTTGTTGAGCCTAGAAGAAAGTGATTCAGAGGATAGCCAATTTTAAAAATCTTAAGGGCCATTCCTTGGAAGATATGGAGCAAGACTGTTTCCTGATGCTGCAGAAGGAAGGACTGGAACCCCTAGATTCAAATTAGAAGAAGGGATATTTCAAATAATCATTAGGAAGACTCTCCTGATGATAAGGGTTTGTTGACAGTGTAACAGACTGCCTTGGGAGACTGTGTATTTTTCTTTGTGTGCAGAAGTTGGATGGCCAACTGCTCATGATGTTGGCTTCCTGCACTGGCAACATTTTATGTCCTTTCCAATTCTACTCATCTGTGATTCATGTGTCCATCAGGTCTTTCATTATGGAAAAAAGAAACTATTGATTTTATGATGTAGGAGTTGAGTGAGGTGATGGCCTGAGAGGTGTGCTTGGAAAACTGTATTCTTTGTTCTTCAAAACACAGATCGCAAGCCATGTTAAAAACATAGATGCAGTTTCGTTTGGAAATTTGATATAGTAATTAACTCACAGAAGAAGTCTGTTAAGCTTACTAGGCGAATGGCGCTTATGAGGTGTAAAATGAAACACTAATTATATGTGCTATGAGCCTAAGACTTTACAGATAAGGACTTGAGATGCCTCAGACTTATTTCCATCTTGTTACTGTTTTTCAAAAGCTCCTTTTAATTGAACATTTTAGCACTCTTCTCCTTTCAATTAGATATCATCACATGTTGGGCACCAAAATCAGATTTCACTTAATTGGAAATCTAGACTGCAGTTTCTACCTTAGCCATTTGTCCTAGAAAAAAGATGAATTCCAGGCACAATTTCAAATACAAACAGATCTACTTTATAATCCTTTGTGACATTCAATCCAATAAGAAAAATGAGTGAGTGTGAATACAGGTCAAATCTGTTACAGTAACAGGTCAGGTAAGCTTCTGCACAGTGGAGATGAAAGATCTCAAGCTGTTTTGCTTTGAGGGAATATTAGCATCTTACCAAAAGGTCAATCATGCCTGATGAAAATGTCACTTTTTGAAAAGTTTGTGTAATTGGCAGGCAAGAATCGAGGAATGATGGCATTTTGAATCGATACAAGAAAAGGCATTAACTTTTGGGCAGATGAAACTTTTAAGCCTCCTGTTGTTTCAGCCTTCATTTATAATGCTTTGTTTTCTCAACTTTGGTAAAGCTTTCATCTCACAGGTGAGGTGGCACCCAATGTATACATATAGTACACATATTTAAAATAACCAATCATGCTCTTGTGGTAAGCTTCTTATAATTTTGTTTTGAATGCCACGTGGATTTAGTCTATGAAAATAGACTTTTCTGACCATATAAGAATTGTGTCATCTAAATGTTTTATGACTGAAGAATGCATTTCTCTTGATTCTCTTCCTTCCTCATCTTGCAGGCATTCAGAAAAACTTTGGTAAAAATGTTTGAAGCTCAGGAACTGGACTGTGTCTTTCTTGAGACAAACCTAAGCATAAAGAAACGTTATCACATGGTATATGAATGCATCCCTCTTCCAAAGGAGATTGGAGACATGGCCCCCATCTACTTCAAGGTAATTTAGTTTTGTTCTCTTCACCTTGTGTCCCCCCTCCCTTTTTTGTTTTTGTTTTATGGGGTCCTGTTTAAGTCAAACTATACTTTTTATAGCCCATAGAAATTTGCATCTGTTTATTTCCCTTCTCCAAATTTATTTATTTATTTATTTACTACATATATATATACCGCCCCTCTCAGCCCAAGGGCAACTCGGAGCGGTTAACAATAGGCAACAATTCGATGCCAGTACAGTTACAACAAATTTAAACAATGATAAATACTTCAAATACTAACAGCAATATAAAAGTGAAGACATTAGAAATGCAGATATATCTAAAGCTGGGCAAAACCTCAGAAGTATAGAAGCTGGACCAAAAATGGTCCCTGGAAAGATCCACCAATAATCTTCCTTTGCAAATTGGACTCTGTACCTACTAGTTTCCCATTTTATAATATGGTCAGACAAGATCGGTGTGAGTGGACCTTACAAATACAAATAAACTCAATGATGGATGTTCACCTGCTGCTTTTCAAAGGTGGAATAGGTTTGATCTACAAGAAAAGGAACAAGTCAAAGATGTAGTGCTGAGTGGGTTTATTGAGCTGATTCGAATGCAGTTTGTTCCTCCCTTTCCTCTTTGTATTTTGACTTGAGCCTGATCTGTCTTACGCATTCTTCTTACTCCTTGGGCATTAAATCAGGTCCTAAAGTCTCATTACAATGGGACTTTATGGAGTATGATCCTTTACATACAAAATAGTTGAGGGCCACTTAAAACTACATCAGCAGCAGCAGCAGCAGCAGCAACAACAACAACACTTTCTTTATAACTCGCCCTCTCCCCAGAGACATTCAGAGAGATTTCCAACAAAAGACAGCAAACACTCAATGTCATAATAAACAATAGAAACAAAACAAATCAAAACAGTCAGCAAACACAGCAATACAAACTTATAGTAACTGACCAAAATGGTAAGTAATTAAATAGAAGTGGTAGATCTAAATCAGTCAAGGGTAGCAGTGGCTGAAATATAGATGCCATTGATTGTAATGGCAAAAGAAGGATGGCATTTTGAGTCTTTACTTTGATTTCTCCACATTTTCTATACAAAAAAGAGATAATAAAACATAATTAATGTAGGAGAACTATTCAGGGCTTGCAGCATTTTTAATTTACAACCTAAAAGTTCTCATTCTAAGACAATTTGTATCAAGCTTAAGTTAGGCTATAGTTCTGACATTACAAAAATAAAAAGAGAATGATACTGAATAAAATTAGAATGAGATCAGTCTTCATTATACTTTAATATATGTAAATTGAATTCTACAAATTACAAAAATGTGTCTAAATTAATTTCTTGCCTTATAAAATTAATATGCACTATTGAAATTCCACAATCTTCTCTTTCATCTTATTTTTAAGTTACAAATTAAAAGTATTTCATTTGTGGCATCTAATGTCGTTCTGTGAGTGTTTCATAGTCCTTGCAATATTTTTTTCAGAAAGCTATAATGGAATCTGATGAAGAATGGTCCATGAATAAAAAACTGATTGATCTGTCTTCGAAAAATGTCCGCAAGTCGGTATGTACTAAAGTGCTTTGGCAGTAATACAAAGTTGTTTGTCCACAAATTCGTGGTTCTTTCTGGCTGCACTATATTTTATAAAAACAGAACTATGAATGGAGAAATATGTTTAAATACAGTTTCTGGAAAAGGTGTGATTTGAATTTCAGTGGGCCAATATAGTCATAGCAATGTTCATATAAGGATCTTCTGTTGGAGATCCAAATGTTAGACTGCCTAGGTTGATGCTGGAAGACAACAATTTTTATTAATCCTGTGTTAACTCATAATGGAGCTAACAAAGGGCTTTGTCTGACCGTTTATTTATCTTAATGTCTAACGCTGCTGTTCTAAACCACATCTTAGCATGCGTCTACAGTGTGGAATCAATACAGACACAATTTTAACTGCTGTGGCTTAATGCTATGGAATCAATGAAGTTGTGGTATGGTGAGGTGGCAGAACAATTTGTATTTAGAGGTATTTAAAGGAGGCTAAATACCTTGTAAATTTCCAACTCCTAGAATTCCATAGTGTGGAGGTGTCAGCATAATTTATATTTAGAGGTATTTAGAGGAGGATAAATACCTTGTAAATTTACAACTCCCAGAATTCCATAGTGTGGAGCCATGACAATTATAAGGTTTGAACTGCATTAATTCTACAGTCCAGTTGCACCCTTACTCAAATCAAAGTCCCATTGAGTACGTTTTGCTTGAGCAGTACATATGTTAAAAATTGCAGTGCTTTGTTTAGAATCACATGGGTGAATAATTAAAATTATTATCTACTTAAGGTGGTACCTTTGCTTAGTCATTTACAGCATCCTTTTCAAGTAAAAAGAGGTCAGTTTATATCATTGATAGAGTATTAGGGAATGTAGAATAGTATCTTGAAATCCGGAGGCATCTATCTCATCATGTACATGGCAGCTCAACAGGTTCCACTGTGCAAAATGGTTTTATTTCTCTATTTTTCCTTATTCCTAGTTTCTGCTATTTCAAAATACTTATTGAGGCTAGCTAATTGTTCAATATCTTTCAAAATCTGTCTCCCTATACCTCTTTTGCACTTCATTTTCAAGTGAGAGAGATGGTCTCATTCTGGTTTAAGCAGAAACAGAAAAGAGTCAAGATCCATTTTAGCTTACACATCTGAGATTTTCTATTATATGAATACATCTTTACAACTGCTGTTTAAAAGCTTCTTTTCTCATTTACATTTTATTTCATGTATTTTTCAGCAGAAGAAAATATATCACTCATTTAACATTGCTTTCATATTCTTAGAACAAGGAGATCATGTGGTTTTCAAAACAATCAAGTATTGTATCAAATCATAATGATACTTGTTAGCATTTTATAGTGCAAAACTAGATTTCAAAGTGCTTCAGACATAAAACATCTCCATATTTCTTTTCCTTCTGCTTAGTATTCTTGTTTTCTTCTGATTATGCCCTACTCTTGAGTCTGCTGCACAAAATTGGCTATAAGAATATAGTGTTGAAATCAATGTTATGAAGAAATTTAAACTCATGGTTTGGGGAAGAAATACCGAAGAAGGATTGCTGACATATACTTAGCTGAGGCAGCGTATTCCTTAACTATTAAACTCTGATGCACGAACACGTGGTTCTGATTTGCACATCTAACAAACAAACCATGCTTTTGGGTTCTTTTTGGAGTATTTACCAGTCATGAATTATGTGGAGCTGTGATGTACATTCCACTTGAGGCCATTGTAGGTGGTTCGAATCTGGGGAGCAGGGTGAACTCCCGCTGTTAGCCCCAGCTTTTGCCAACCTAGCAGTTCGAAATCATGCATATGGGAGGAGATCAGTAAGTATCGCTTCGGTGGGAAGGTAACAGCACTCCATGCAGTCATACCACAAAAATCCCCAAAATCCCATACAAAATCACACTATTGGGGGCTTTTTGGAGAAGTATTATTTTCATCTGGTGTACAAAATAAGGGTGTCATTTTAACCTGCAGGGGCTGCCATTAAAAAGACATATCCTGGTTGTTCTCATTTTTTCTGCTCTAAGTTGTCTAGCTTCAACAGGATTTAAATCTAAAGAAATAAATAATCTATTAATGTTCAGCATTTCAAGGGCCTGGCATGAAAAAGTGATTTTTTGAAAAAGAAAAAATAACACATTTTTGGTTTCTTGTGTTTAGGTTCCAAAAGGTTTGCCCTACTTTTCTGTGGATTTTGGTCTCCAAGGGGGCTTTGCTCATGTCATTGAAGATCAACACAAGTTCCCTATTTATTTTGGAAAGGTATTGAAATGAACAGCTTCTGTTCTGAGATGTGGACACAAGGCATAGGATGAGAAGTTTAGGCTGAATAGGCATGGCAATTTTATTACATACTTTAAGACATGTAAGAGCAATATGATATATCCGTAACTGAGCTGTACTACATATCTAGTTGGTTGGATACTAGATTCTCTCTGTGCAAAGGCAAAAGTAGAATTATCATTTTGCTCAAAGGTATAGAGTTTAATTTTTGTTAGCAAAGTCCATATTGTGTATGTAAAACCCTCAGTAGTGGATTTATGGGATAACTTGATTTTCTTTCTTTGCCAAATAGAATCTAGAACATAATAGATGAGTTTTCAGGGGAGGAAGGGATGTGTTTATTCAAATCTCATGTTCCCACTCCACCCACATGCTCCTTGTGGGAATTAGTTTGCATGGTACATTTTCAAGTTGTGCCCAAGTGTGTGAATCACCTGTATAATGCAAAGCTTAGAATGCTCCATTCCTTCCCATTTTGCAGTCCCTGTTTTGGATAGCTGTGAGATTTTCAGGTTAGTTACAACCAGAAAGCAGTAACCTTCTGTTGTGTTTCTCCTACTTTGCAAGGAAATCATTGGTGGCATGCTGGATTTAGAGCCCAGGCTTTGGAGAAAAGGTCTGCGGGAGAACTTTGACGACCAGAGGAAGAAGGTGCTGCAGTTTGCTCAGAGATGGAAACCGTTTGACTTCACCAAAAGCAAAGAGTGAAGATGCAGAAACAATGCTTTGACATTTACACTAGCTGGACTTGCCAGGAAATTATCACAAGCCATTAAATTCATCCTCCTTACAGAGAAACTCATATTAAAGATGGCAGGGATATTTTACTACTTTTTATGAACACTTTTAAAGGGGGGGGGGAGGGGGATAGTTCTTTAAAACAGCAGTAAGAAACCGAACTATGAGTTATGTTCATTTTCAGTGCCACAAATGGAAAATTAAATCCTTAATGAAATCGATGCAAAGCGTGTTTACAATTGTTCCTCTGGCCCTCTATACTATTTGCCATTATTTTCCATAGAATGCTGACTTGGTTTGTGCAGACCACAGTGCCATGAGCTTTTAATTCAGTACTTCATTGTTGACAAGTGCCCAGTGTAGCAAGGATTAGAGACAACTTACCGTATATACTTGAGTATAAGCCAACCCAAATATAAGCGAGGCGCCTAATTTTACCACAAAAAAACTGGGAAAATGTATTGACTCGAGTATAAGGGTGGGAAATGCAGCAGCTACTGGTAAATTTTAAATTAAAAATAGATACCAATAAAATTACATTAATTGAGCCATCAGTAAGTTAAATGTTTTTGAATATTTACATAAAACTGTAAGATAAGACTGTTTAGATCTGATTAAACTTCTTCAATGTAAATGTGCTTACGTATCCATCCAATAATCACCATAGTTTATTTTAACTATACATTTTGGAGAAAATGCTGGGTGTATATGAATAAGGAAAAGTGGGAAAGACTGGCTCCAAGAGAGGAGATGAGGAAGGCATGTGCTACACTGAGAGAGGAAAGGAAAACAAAGGATTGTTGAGAAAGCTTCAGTGGCGACCTTTTCCCTTGACAAGGGTAGATTTCTCTCACTTCCTGTTGTCTCATCCCTGTTCTTAACTATGAGTTGTTTGTAAGTTGGATGTTTGTAACTCGAGGATTGCCTATATTTGGAGGCCTAAGTGAATAAGTACTTGAAAGCATACAACAGCAACCAAACACATTTTTATTCACATTAATTTTGCCAGTCGAGTTTTTTTTTATTTGATTCATTGTGCCTGCACAGAAGTTAATAGTTGGGTTATTTGAAAATAGGTGGTGCAGCAGGTTAAACCGCTGAGCTGCTGCTGACCAGAAGGTTGGTGGTTCGAATCCGGAGAGTGGGGTGAGTTCCTGCTGTTAGCCCCAGCTTCGGCCAACCTAGCAGTTCGAAAACATGCAAATGTGAGTAGATTAATAGGTACAGCTTCTTCAGGAAGGTAACAGCACTCCATGTAGTCATGCTGGCCACATGACCTAGGTGTCTATGGACAATGCCTATCTCTCTTAGCCTAATATGTAGCATTCCATAGTAGGAAGCTTAACACACAGAAGAACAAAGAAAGGTTCAGGGAAAGCAAAGAGAAATTTACAGTAACAGAATCTTGTGATACATTTGGGAATAGTTTGGCCCTAATTGGTAATATTGAAAGCCAGGAATTTCCCAGTGGGAGGAAATTACTGATATTGTCCCTGGAGAGAAGGTTTGGGAATGCTTGTTTTGTTTCGTGTTAAACGTAGCCAAAATAAATACTTAGAAACCAAGGTAGCTCTTGGGATAGCTCAGCAAATAGTTGTCCTATCCAGCAAGGAGGAAGGGCGCAGAATTTCCAAAGGCTACAATGTCACAGCTTTTTTCACATTCTTTTAAAGATATACAACAAAAGCTTCCAAACAAATTCCCTTTAGAAGTTCCTGAATGCAACATGTTTAATGTCATAGGAAATAGCATCAAATCCATCTACAAGCTCCCAGTGAAGCATATTATTATTATTATTATTATTTTGCATATGAGAACGAGGAGTACAGATTGAGTATCACTTACCTGAAATGTTTTGGACCAGAAGTATTTTGAACTGTTTTTTGAGGGAGGGGATTTTGGAATATTTGCATATGAATTTTGTGTTCAGATATGGGCCCCACCTCCCAGAAGTCTCATTATTGGAGGCTTTTAAACATAGGCCGGATGGCCATCTGTTGGGGGTGTTTTGAATGCAAGTTTCCTGCTTCTTGGTAGGGGGTTGGACTGGATAGCCCACGAGGTCTCTTCCAACTCTATGATTCATTTATACTTAATATATATCTTATAGAATATCCCGAGGAGACCATGTTCAACATTTTAATCATGTTATATTTGTGCACAGTGAACCACCAGAAAGCAAAGATGTCATTATCTCAGCCACCCATGTGCACAGTTTTGGATTTTGGAGCATTTCAGAATTTGAGATAAGGGGCATTGAAAATTGATTTCAGTTTTAACCTTTAGACATTCCTGTCACTGGCTGTAAACCTCTGCATTCCACATAACAGTCTATGAAATTTATTTTGTGAAAGATAAGTATATATAGTTAACATCTAGTTAAGAATATACTAAAAATGTACATTGACCTTAGTAAATTTGTCCAAAACATGACCCTTTAGATAGCTGTATGTAAATAAGTTTGGAAGCATGCAATTCTTCTCTCTTTGTCTGACACAGTTATGTTTCACAACTGCTGCATTCCTTACACTCTGGAATGACATCAACAGAACACTGCTGCTATTGCCAAAAAAATGTACTTTGACCATATGCAGTTTCACATTTGAAATCCATTTAAATCGTAGCACTCTTGGAATAGCAGCCCCCAGTGGAACAATCGGTTAAACCTTTGTGCTGGCAGGACTGCTAATTGAAAGGTCAGCAGTTTGAATCCAGGGTCAGCTCCAGCTTCCCATGCGGTGACATGAAAGAATCCTCCCACAGGATGGTAAAACATTCGGACGTTCCGTGGGCAACGTCCTTGCAGACTGCTAATTCTCTCACACCAGAAGCAACTTGCAGTTTCTCAAGTCACTCCTGATACAAAAAACAACCAAACTCCTAGAATAAATTGAAAGCTTAATTCTTTGATGTTTAACACAGTTACTTAGGAACAAGCAATATTTTGTTGTAGAGAAGAAGGTTGGACTTGAAAAACAGAATAATAAAATGAGATCTTACTATGTGCAGATGTTTCTTACTCTTATCTATCTATCTATATTTAAAAGGTAAGAAAGACATACCATTGATTGCAGCCTTGGATATGGTCATAGTATTTTTATACATTACTTGGGAACAGCAGTAAGAAAGGCAGAGTGTATAACGTTATCCTGTGTTTCTGGGATTCTCTGTTGAGATATGGAAATCCATTGAGTAATCTAGTAGGTCACACATTCCCAGTCTTAGAGGCAAGCAGAAGCAAGCCTCCTTGGAATAAATCTTGCCAAGAAAATCCATAATTTGCCATAGATTGGAGTTGACTTAACAAGAACAATACCACAACAGTAAACAGAAATACAGGCTGTAAAATCCCTTTTATACTGTATAAAAGAAAAGAAATCAGTTTTATGTTAAAAACCACTGCTAGTAATGTAACTGATTCAAGGATTACTTGTGTCTTGAATGAAAATTGTACTGTAAGTATGTAGAATCCATAGAAATATAATTGTTTTTTCCTTTGAATATTTTTGTGGGTTTCTTTGCAGAACATGTTAATTATAAACAAAACCATGGGATCTATATTTGAGTCAGGAGCAGGAATTTTTGTCAGCAGTTTCCCATTTTTTTCAGTTCATGTTTGCGAAAGGTTTTTTGTTGCATCTGTTCGATGTTTCATGTTTTGCCTTATGTCTGTTTTTTATTTAATTTTAGTTGTTAAGTCATAATTTTGTTTATATGGTAAATTTTGTTAGTATGGATGTATTGTATTTGGGCATTGAATGTTTGCCTTTTATGTTTGGAATCTGCCCTGAGTCCCTCTGGGGAGATAGAGCGGAATATAAATAAAGATTATTATTATTATTATTATTAAACCTTTTTTGTGTATTGTCATTTCTTTTTTCTTTTATATATATATATTGAAAAGATTACATTAAAAGTTTAAAAAGAGACAATAAGAAATTTAGAATAAAAACACAAAAAGTGCCAAGAAAAAGAAAAAAAACAAACAGAGAAAAGAAGAAAATGAGAATAGAAAAAAAGAAAAGAAAAGACTTCCAATCTATCTTCATTCAGCTGGAAGGAATAACATAGGTATCTCCTTCCGGATTTCTTAGTGTTGAATCTTTTCTTGGGCAAAAACACTTCAAATGATTCTTCAAAACTTAAAATTGGTAAATCCTTTTTTTCTTCATGCAAAAGGTCAAAAAAGGTTTCCAATCTTTCATGGTTTTTTTTCTGATATCCCTTCCCACTGATGGGAAGGGGTTGGAAATATCCTGTTGTGTCCCGATCTCCAGCAGAGCTAATCTACTTTGCTCAGTGCAACTGCAAATATTATGGGGTTAGGCCAAGACATGGTACAGTTGCTATTCCTCATATACAGATCCTGCATCTATAGATTCCACCATCCACACCTTGAAAATGTTCAAGAAATCCCAAAAGCAAACCTCGAGCTTTTTTTTTTTAAGGGACACCAGGGAGTGATCCTGGATTCATCGCTGAGCCTGGAACCCCAGGTCTCAGCAGTGGCCAGGGGAGCTTTCGCACAATTAAAACCCCCAGATACTGAAAGCCTAATTTACTTTGTTATGTATGCACTCAAAACAAGCTCAAATATATAACCACAATTAATCCCAAAGACACTGACGAGATAATAGTAAATTAAGTAACAAATATATAATGAATATGAAAAGATTTTTTAAAATGCATGACAAGATCTGTTGGAAGCAAGAACTGGCTCTGCAAAGCTAGTCCAACAAGATGCTCTGCCTCAGGCTTTCTGTGAGGATTTTCTATCAGCTGACTACTGTTATCAGGATGTCAGTATAATCCATTAAGGCAGTAAACCTCTCCTGGAGTTATACCATCTGAAATATGTCTTTCTGTTTAATATATTAAAAGGTCACTTACCTGTCCTGTTCCTAAAATGATACATCATGGATTGGCACAGATATATTGCAGTATAAGTCTAGTATTACAAAGAAGGACCATAATAAACCTTGTGCTTGCCTCCCTTCTCCCTGTTTTACAAAAATGTTTATGTTTCGCATTTTCTCTCCTCAAAGAAGAATCAAAGTGGCTTACATTAAAACAGACTTACTAAGGAAGCAAGGCCTTCCTTGGCTGGTTCCCAGTCAACCAGCGCTGTATTCTCTGCTTCTTTGCCTTCCTCTTCATGGGTCTTTCCTACGGAAAGTTGCCCATTGTCAGCACTCCCAGCCGCTGGGATCCAGGGATGCTGTCCCTGTTTAAGGGGCTGGCTGGGATGGAGGACCGGCGCTGGAGACGACTCTGACTATTAGGCATGGGCAATCCATGGTTCTAAATATAATAATAATAATAATAATAATAATAATAATAATAATAATAATATTTATTTATACCCTGCCACCATCTCCCCCAACGGGGACTTGGGGCGGCTTACATGAGGCCAAGCCCAAACAACAAATTACAACAAAGTAAAACCAAGAACACAAACAACAAGCAACATCATAATTACATAATAATAATTAAAAACATATAAATACATTAGCAATATAAAATAACAATCACAGTGACAATGGACGGGCCACATGTGCAGAATAAAATGATTAAAAATAATTAAAAACTCGGGTGAGATAAAAGGAGGAGCAGGTTATTTGCAAGGGGAGCTCAATTTTTAAAAAAAGGGTTTTGGAAGCAAACTTTTCCACGAGGAGGTGGGATGTGTACTCCAATGACAGAAACGTTGAGGCTGAGTGATAGTGTGAGTGATATGTACCTACTCACCAAAGGCCCAACAGAAGAGCCAGGTTTTGAGGTTCTTTTTAAAGGTTTCTAGGGTAGGGGCTTTCCTAATCTCTCCAGGTAATGAGTTCCAGAGTCGGGGGGCCACAGAGGAGAAGGCTCTCTCCCTAGTGCCCACAAGGAGAGCTTGTGAAACTGACAGGGGCGAAAGGAAGGCTTCCCCTGAAGATTGGAGGGCTCGGGCTGGTTCATCGAGGGAGATACGGTCACGAAGGTAGGCAGGTCTCATGAAGGTTGTTGTTCATTCGTTCAGTCGTCTCCGACTCTTCGTGACCTCATGGACCAGCCCACGCCAGAGCTCCCTGTCGGCTGCCACCACCCCCAGCTCATGAAGGTAGGCGGGTCTAAATGGTTCCAAAGTACTTGCAAAAGTAGGGGGTGCGTGTGCTTTGCTTCTAAAGTGTTGCTAATGTTCTGGTGGTGAAAATTTCAGAACTCTTAACGAAACTTTCAAAATTTCATTATAAATTGCAGCTCCTAATTGGTTCTGTTATAAAAATCGCCAATAATGAAATAATAATTAAATTTTGAAAGTTTTGGTAGAGTTCTGAAATTTTCCTGCTTCTTGGCAGGGGGTTGGATTGGATGGCCGACAAGGTCTCTTCCAAATCTACGATTCTATGATTCTATGTGTCTGGGCATGACAAAATGTCATTACACTATTATTTAGTTTGCATCATTCTGTTCCCCTTCTACATTACCATATAATGATATACTTCCGGTAAGATGGCGGACAGCTAACAGCTGACTTGCAGAGCGGGGCTGGTGAGATTATCTATCCGAACCCAATCCCCCTCATCCAGACCCTCCCCAGTTACTAACCGCCACCATTGGCACCCAGAGGTTTGAAGGAACCCTCTGGGAGGCTTTTGGGCGAGTTTCCAGCTAAAAGAGAGGAGTTAAGAGGAAGAGGAAGAGGGAAGAGAGGGAGGAGAGGTAGAACGCCGAGGCCTTTTCCATTCAGGGCCTAGGAAGAGCGTTCCCCCCGAGCCTGACTGCGGCTATCGGAGCGCCTGCCCGTCCCCTCATGCCATCGGGGAAGCAGGACCTTACCTGACCTGTCACCGTTGCAGACGCCATTGCTGCCGGAGGGCCGGAGGACCCATCGGGACACTGCTCCGGCTGCCTCGCCTGGCGTACTGCAAAGCGCGCCGCTGCCACTGCCGCTCCGTGGCTGCACCGCCCGGCGTGTTGCTGGGCGCCCGCTGCCGGCGCCCGCTGCCTCGGACATCTGGTGATTCAGCGTTCCAGCTGCGAAGGGCTGTGAGGCCTCCCCTCCCGCCGCCCGGGGCTGGGGAGCGGGGAAAAAGACCACCAGGCTCCCCCATCGCTGCGCCCTCTCCTGCCACTGTCCCAGGGGAGGAGAGGAGGACCTATCCAGCCATTGTGGGCCCAAATTCCATCAGGCCGCGAAGCCTGCCAGGCCTTTGCTGTGTGCGCCCCGCCTCCTGGTGCTTGGATGCTGCGGATCCCACTGTCCCACCTCGCCGCTGTAAGGCCTGCTAGGCCCTGTTAGGCCTCCCGGGGAGGAGGGAGAGAGGGCCCACTCGGCTGCTGCGGGCCTCTAATTGCCGAGGGAGGGAGAGAGAGCCAAGGAAACCACTAGGTCCTCCTCGGTCTGACTCCAGCGGGCGCCTGCTACCGCTGCTCCGGTGATCCTCGTGGTCCCTCGACGCCCCTTGGGTTCCATCGAGCCTGCTAGGTCCCATCGCGTCGCGCCCCTCCCTCTTGTTGATCCAGGAGAGGGAGAGAAGGAAATGAGGAAGCAAGGCCCAGAGGCTGCCCTTCGGCCGGCCAAGTTTCATCGCTTGGCGCCCCTCCTTCCTGCTGTTCCAGAGGAGGGAGAGAAGGAAGCAAGGCCCAGCGGCTCATCAGCAGGCCGGCCAGGACCACCGCGCCACGCCCCTCCCTCCCGCCGCTCCAGGGGAGGGAGAGAAGGTAGCAAGGCCCAGCGGCCCCTCATAAAGCCCCCTTGGTCCCTCCGTGCTGCGCCCCTCCCTCCCGCCAAGCCGGGGGAGGGAGAGAAGGAAGGAAGACCCAGCGGCCCCCTTCAGGCCTGCTAGGCCCCATCACATCACGGGCCGCTGCTGCGCCGCCGCCGCGGCCATTCCTGCTGCAGCAGCCACCACCAGCTATTAGCGCTGCCATTGCCGTCCGTACTGCAACAGCCACCAGCAGCCACCAGCAGCCAACACTGGTGTCGGTCGGTGTGGACTGAGTCATGTGTGTGTGATCCACTGTGTTGACCAATTGTGTGGACTAGATTGCTGTGCAGACCGACCCATGTGTAGAACAACTGTGCGGCCAGGCTGCATGTGAACCATCTGTGCTGACCAGCAATACGGACTGACCACCTGTGTTGACCATCTCCGGAAGGACTAAGATCCCTCATGACTCAGGGTTTTAATACAATCCTCAGAGCTCTATATCAAAGAACCAGACTCTCATTCCTTCCACACTGCCCCTTGAGGTCAGGACAAAAGGTGCAAACAACATCCATTATATAACGGACAATCCGTAAAATTGTGCTGCTGAGTTACCAATAATTGCATATATTGTCTCCATTACAGATTACCATCTGCTCTGCTGGGATCATCTTCACCCAAGACGGCCAAGAAGAACCGGAGACCTGGCCCTGGGTGCCGGCTTGTTTGCTCCACGGGCCCAAGGACCTAGGTTCTTCGGTGCGAACTGTCTGTCTTGACTGAGTGGTTGGAAAGTGAATCCATTTATAATAGACATTCTTTGCATTGAGCACTTTAGAACTATCTCAGCACAAAATCATTTAATCTAAGCACTTTAGTTCCTGCTAAATCTCATATCATTACTTTAAGCATTTTAAATCTGCTAGATTCCATACCTCGATTAAGTGGTCCAAAATCCTAGGTCAAGTGATCATAGCCATTGCACTTTATGTTCTGTTCTTTGGGTTCCTGCTAACTGTTTACATCAGCATACTACCTCTAGGTCAATGTTCACTTTACCTTTGCTGCTATTGATATCCCTCCAATTTCCAGCGCAAGTGCACTTTACAATAACTCTAGCACAAGTGCACTTTAAAGCTTTTTCAGCGCAAGTGCACTTT